ATATTCTCGGACTGCAAGCGGCGTTGGAGCTCTTGGCTCCTATTGAGCAACGTCTAAATTGGTAGCGAATTGCCAAAAACGACTCTCCTCGATAGGAAGACTTACCAGGTTGTCTCTGATCTGGATTCTTGGCCACACTGGCCTGGAAAGTAATAAGGCTGCTGACTCCCTTGCAAAAGAGGGTGTTGCAAGCAGCTTTATCGGACTAGAACCTGTCATTGGCATCGCTTTAGGCTTTGCCAAACAAAGATTGAATGAAAGAAAATTTATGGACTTCTGGTAGAATCTTCCAGGATTGGCTCACTTCAAGGCATTTATTTACCCTTCGAAGCTTGATACCAAACAGTTGTTGGACTACAGTAGGGATGAACTACGATGTCTAACAGGCCTCCTTACAGGTTACTGTTGTCTCAATCATCATATTTAGAGACTCGGATTGTCGGAAGACAGGAAATGAGCTGGTCCAAATTTTAGGGAGCTTAACGACTGAGTAGCAAAAGATCGCGCAAGCGGTCTTAGCCGCCTTAATACAAGCACCCGGACGACAGTAATGCCTGCAAGAGTCCCGGAAAGACTACTAGTAGGATCATGGAACATAAACGGTTCCACAAAAACGGAACGAGCTACTGGAGCTGCTATCGCGTCTAGACAAAGACGTCATGGTACTGCAAGAGACAAGATTGAGTAGCGAAAAGAGCTAGCTTTCATTAGTACTAGTAAAAACAGCAAACACGGAGAAGCAGTAGCAGTAGCAGTAGCAGTAGCACCAAACACCCCAACATACTACGCGCATGAAGATCAAGTCTCGGACATTCTCGACATCTCACCAGTGCAGAACATCGAAACTACGGAGATGGAAGTACTAGACGAAGGTTTGTCAGACCACAACCCCATTATATTCACAATAGGAAGAGGTGAAGTGGAAACAGACAACTCAACAAAGCGAGTCATCGACTGGATAAGATTCCAGCGCGCCATACATGATGCGATGGGTGAGACACCACGCATCGAAACAACAACGGATCTGGAGAACACCACAGAACAGCTGCAGCAGGCGATCATCCAAACAATGGAAAGAAGCGCACGTGAAGTCCCAGCCCCACGCTTCAACTTCCAAGAACAGCTCCCACCAGAAACGATGGAACTGGTCAGGATAAGGAGACGCCTGAAAAGACGGTACCAAAGGACTCGCGCGCCTATGGACAAAAGGTGCATGCAAAGAGCCAACAGGTTACTAAAAGAAGAATTAAAAGAAATCCTAGACAGACAATGGACTACTCGTCTGGAAGAACTAAACACTGAAGACCAGTCTGCATGGAGAATGCAGAAAGTACTCAGGAAAGGACCTCGACAGCCATACCCGCCAATACACGGCGAGCAAGGAATCGTCTACACTGACCAGGAGAAAGCTGAAGCATTCGCGGACAACTTCGAAAGGCAGTGCAGAGAGAACGACGTCCCGTTCACGGACGAAGTAGACGAAATAGAGAGACAGGTGGAAAGAACGGTACGAAGTTTGAGACAACGAACAACGCAACCCCTGGCCCCGATATCTCCCGAGGAAGTGAAAGACATACTAAGACGTCTATCTACTCGGAAAGCTCCAGGACCGGACAACATAACAAACCGGGCCCTGAAAATACTACCGCGCAAGGGTATAACAGCCATAACTAATATTATAAACGCTATACTCAGATTGCAGCACTTCCCGTACCAGTTCAAAGAGGCAACGGTTATCCACATCCCGAAGCCCAAGAAGAACCACCTGTTCCCAGACAATCACAGGCCAATAAGCTTACTACCTTCCATAAGCAAAGTGGCGGAACGTGTCATCTTGAAGAGACTCGAAGATCAAACTAGAAAGGTAGGAATCCTCCCGGACGAACAATTCGGTTTTAGATCAGAACACTCGAAAGAGCTACAAGTCCGGAGGGTAGTAGACTTTGCGACCGAAAGCTTCAACTTCGGCAAAGGACACAACACCGGTGGAATCTTCTTAGACGTCTCCAAGGCGTTCGACAGAGTTTGACATCAAGGACTACTGGCCAAAATGAGCGATTTCGGATACTCAAAACCAATGGTAAGATTAATTCAGTCTTTTCTAGCTGACAGGCGATGCCGATGCAGAGTAGGAGACGAACTATCAACAATTCGACTACTGGAAGCAGGGGTCTCGCAAGGAGCAGCAGTTGTACAACCGGAAGGCAACGTCACCTTCAACGGACAAGAGATTCCGTGGACCAGCAAAGCGACATACTTGGGGGTCATCTTAGACAGGAGAATAACATTTCAGTCTCATGTACTGCAGAGAATTGGAATGGCTAGACACGCCAGACAACGATTGGCACCTATCATAGGACGCAGAAGCAACATGGGGTTGAAAGTGAAGTTGCTAATGATCAAAATCGTCCTCATGCACATAATACTGTATGCCTGCACTGCCTGGGGTCAGTGCGCGCAGACATACAGGTAGCAGATACAGTCGTTTATGATCGCGAGCGTAAGGGCCGCCGTAAACGCGACGTACTATATCCCAAATAGATACATATACAGAGACCTAGACCTGTACACGCAATATGTGTACGTGTATATGAGAGAACACGCAGAAAGCGTGTTCGATAGAATCGGATCGCACAACAACCCAGCGTTACGCGATCTACACGATGCGTTGAACATGGATGACCCCAGGTTCCGAGAAAGGGACAAACATCCAAGGCCGACTAAGCAGAACCAACGACCGCCCCCACGAGTCGCCGTCAGGCGACTCCGGTAAGCATACTAATCAGATTTTCTTTCAGCAAAATTTTTAATTCTTCTTTTTTAGTTTTTTCAGAGATTTCAAATCATTTTATATACTAGAAAATGGAATTCCGAACTAGTGAAAGACTTACCAGGTTGTCTTTGGTTTGGATTCTTGGCCATAGTGGCCTGGAAAGCAATGAGGCTGCTGACTCCTTTGCAAAGGAGGGTGCTGCAAGCAGCTTCATCGGACCAGAACCTGTCATTGGCATTGCTTTAGGCTTTGCCAAACAAAGATTGTACATGTGGATGGCAACAAGATTTATAGACTTCTGGCAGAATCTTCCAGGATTGCCCCACTCCAAGGCGTTCATTTACCCTTCGAAGCTTGATACCAAACAGTTGTTGGACTACAGTAGGGATGAACTACGATGTCCAACAGGCCTTCTCACAGGTCACTGTCATTTGAATCATCATATGCAGAGACTCGAACATTCGGAAGACATTGTGTGTTGCTTCTGTTTGGAAAATGATGAAACAGCAGAGCACATACTTTGTGCCTGCCCCGCTGGGGACCGAATGAGGTTTTTACCATCTGAACTCTCACCATCTGACCTGAAAGACCACTCAATATACAAACTAATCGGCTTCGTTAAGAAGCTTGGTTTATTTGGTCGAGTGGGAATATGTGTAAGCCACAATAAACCATTGCGGGTTGCGGTGGAGGGTCGAATAGACCCACTCACTTTGGACCTAACCTTACCCAAGCTAACATTTTGAAGATGGCAATGTTTTCTTTGAAAGTTACAGCCAATTTTGTGATGATTTCTTACAGAAAATACATTTCAATTATATTTCATAATCAGGAGATTTCTAATAATTAATACACTGACCAGTTACCTGTTGAAAATGAATGAAACTCTTCAGTATGATAATTGTTATCATTAAATAGGTACCTACACATTTCTGAATTCCGACTAAGAAATACATTGAAACGGTGGCATTATCCAGTTTACCTATACAAATTCTCTTCAAAAAGTTGTTACTACTTATGAACATCGCTGCAAATAAGAAGAATGTTTAATAAAACCTTCTGGAATAATTGGAGCTAAAATGCTATCTATATTTGAAGTATGTACTTGAAACTGGGACTTGAAACTGAAATATACATCAGAAACAATATTTTCATGAGTTAAACAAACCAGAAACTGTGTACACATATATTTGAGCAGAAAGAAAACAATTATTTCATGTTCTCTGCGCACAATTTGCTTTTCAAACAATTGATTGTGAAAAATAACCTCAATGACGAATCTTTTTTAGAACCTCCCTCCCACCCCAAAATAAAACTAATTTATGTTTTCTTGGACTCCCAAACAAGGTCCTGTGTGAATTTTCACATATGACAAGTAGTTGAGCTCAAGTGAAATTTTTGATTCTTATTCCGCACTATTTATAGTTGAAAATAAACGATGACCCCATTTCCTTCTTCAAATAATCATTTCTGCTCAAGATCAATGAATTCTAAATTGTTTCAAAATATCTTACTGTTGGAAATACCTATTGTTTAGAAAAAAAAAAAAAAATGAAAAACTCAACCACTCATTATATGATACTAGAGTTCAGAAGAATCCGTGATACAAGGACAGTCTATGGAATAGACTGAACAATCATAAAAGTTAAACGAAGGTTTCCACTGTTTCAGAATTATGCTTCGGTCTCATAAATGGAGTGGTCAGTCTTACTTCAACATTTATTAGTTTTTTTTTTAATTTACAGTGATACCTATTGTTGAGAACAAATTCATGCACATGTTTTGAGGATATAAACTTTTTGAGAAGCCTGACTGAAAAATTGTTTTCCTCCTGTCTAGATTCTAGATGATACCAGAGTTTGCTCATTTTTTTCAATAGCATACTAGTCTTAAACGAAATATTTATTTGATACGGCCAGTTTCAATGTTGAATGAAAACTCATGAAATTTTAAATGAAACTTTAGGAGTTTACTCCGTTTTCAAAATAATCGATAGTTTTTAGGTAACTGAGAAAGAAGCAAACCTGCCTTTTCAACAATGTTTAATTTTAGTTACCTACTTTAGTTATTTTTTATGTGGGGATTTGGGAGTTTTGCATATTTTTCTGGATATCATTATGGATCCAATAAGTTTTTCTTCGTATTTAAATTTATAACGGCAAATTAATGCGTTTTTCAACGTTAGAATTAGTCTAATTGGTTCCTTGATTAAAAAATATAAACTCACCTATAGTAATCCTCCTTGCAGTATATATTTCCATCTCTAGCGAAACAAGTCAAGTCAGAGTCCAGAGGAAGTTTACATTCACAACATTTCAAACAAGAAGCATGCCATTGTCGGTCGACAGCCAGGAGGTAGAAACGGTCGTGTATTCTTTCGCCACAGCCAGAACAGGATGACACTTCAATGCCAGAAGAACCACCAAGGCTTGAACATGGAGAGGAAACGTTGCGTTCGAGGCTATCGCGTTCCTTCAACATCTTGTGGGAAACTAACTGAAAAACAACTCGCTGCCGCTTCTTGTACTAGGCTTCTAGGAGAGTCGTCTGAAAAAAATCGGACGTTATTAAGTACATAAATATTAACTACGTGATATAAGTAATGACGGGCAGCGGCGCAAAGTATGTTTTACGTTACCGGCGCCCAGACTGTTGGCGATTTTCACTGACGTTGAAGATTAAAAGTTCTTGTCTCATGTCTGAATGGGTTCATTCTCGAAGTAGTACATGGAGTCTATATAGTATACCGGGGTCTGAAGAAAAATACCTCGTTCAATCAAGCCGAAGAGTTGAATTTAAGATAGGCCAGCGGTGGTTGCAAGGAGAGCGGAAGAAAAAATTCAATTGGTTCGATTAGGTTTATCGAATTTGGCCATTGCTTGACCTTCGATTAGCGGTTCTATACTGGAACATTACCTTACTCAAAATCGGTACAGGGTGGGCAACAGTAGCAAAATTACAAGAACGAAGAATGAAAATATGTTATGTTATCGTAACTACTTCAAAAAAGCACGGTATTATGTAGATAATCAGTCCAATTAGTGATGTTTGCCCCACATCCATTTACCTTTTTTTGCCTTAAAATGTTAATGAATTAACTTCAGTACGTTTATGTGGAATCTAATCATGAGTTTTCATAAAGAAATTGTTTTTTGAAAATGCCTTCATTTGAACGGGTGTGGATTGAAATTTTCGTCATGATTGGTGTTGGTGATATAATGTGGACTCAATTAAAAGTTTGCATGAAATGCCCAAACATTTTGAACCTATTTCACAACCGATTTTGAGCAGAAATACAGAGACCTAGAACATGTGAGAGGTGCCCATGCAAGGTAGACCTACAGTTCCTGAAAACGTTCAATGGAGACGAAATGTTGAAAACCCTCCTTACCTAGGATTATCTAGTGAGTTTGAATATTGGAAAGTATTCAGAATGGAACATTTCTTTATAAGTATCCAAGTAAAACTTCATTGTGGGATTTTCACTGAGCAGTTTACAACCCGTGTTTCATTATACAATAGTTTTCTCAGGCGTGTTCATACTTAAGTATACACTGTTCAGTGAAAATTTCACGATGAAGTGTTATTCGAAAACCTTTTTGGATTTTCATCAATTCCATAATATATTTTTTGTTCACTGTGGTTCTGGCGTTGAATTTGGTCATTATTACCTTGGTCAAAGACAAAACGGACTGGTTTAAATTTGACGATAGTCATGTCACGGAGTGTTCTGGTGATGTCTTGAGTTTATTGGAGCCTCTGCGGACACCCTACATTTAGGTTTATGAGAAAGAGGACATTGGTAGATCAAGATCTTCAGACGATGTGGTGCTGCAGGTTTTTCCGGGTTTTCCTACCGCTGAGAAAGCAAATGCGCTACTGCAATCAATGAGGTCGCCCCGGAGCGCCAATTGATTTTTATTGTTGTTTTTATTTTCATCGTTGTTTTATAATTTCAAAATTGAAGTTTTGAAAAACTTAAAATACCATTCTTATGAAGTACGTCTCGTCTATGGAATGGACGACCTGTTAGGGTTTCAAAATCACTTCCCCAATTTTTAGTAAACATCCAGTAGATTTTATGAAATTTCACATAATATCGTATTAAGAATTATTATGACCCTGTATATGCCAGGAATATGAAAAAAGTCTTCCTATCTTTGCTGAAATCGGCATATTCACAAAGTTTTTTTATAAGATATCGGTTTTTCCAAATAATTCATCTGTCTTTTATGACAGTTCATGTTATTCGACATTTCGAGACTTCAGAAAGAAAACGTATCTCTCTTTTTTTTTGGTTTTGGACTAGACACGGGAAGAACATTGCGATTTTGCGGATTTGAAAGAATGTTTTAAAGTATTTCTGAATCGAAAATTGATTTATCTCAAGGGAGATAATCAATTATCTATCTACTGTCGCAGGGGTTATGTTGGAATTATTCGAAACTTTCTAAATGAAGTTTACCTTGTCAAAGAACTCTGAAATCTCAAAGGCCACACTCCATCATCCCAGGTATGAACCAACATTTTGTGTTTTATTGATACGACCTACTTGCTTACAAGAAATTATGGTCAGACATGTATGAATTTTTAGGCCTTCATTTTCCATTTGCCTCTTTGTTGCTAACTGATTACGCCCTTAAAATCTCCCCAACTTTGAGAATAGCTGTTGGCGAATCTCCACTTCTTGGACAACTAGATGACTCACCACTGTTGGTAGGGATATAAAATGAATGCATATTTCTACCTGTACAAAACTTGAACGTATTTTTCATCTCATCCTCTCTGTGGCTCAAATAAGTTACTTGCTATATTCGATGACCTGAAAATAAATCTATTTCATCGGTTCCCCAATTTTCACTGTATCCAGAAGAAATAGCATAATAAACAAGTTTCACTGAATCCTTTATTTTTGACAAATAAAAGCCCATATGGACAATTCTAAATCAATCTTCAATTCCGTTAATAAACCAAGAGCATTGTGTCGCTTCTTGAAACATGCTCCAGCCTATTTTTTTAAATTATACCCGATTTCCTGATAGTGAAAAGTACCTAATAAATGCTCGCTATGAAGGCAAAACGTTGAAAATGTTTTCAAACAAAATTTTGTGATTTCTTTATGATTTGTCACAGCTGGTATAGGCCGGTTTATAATACTTTAGCGGGTCCAACTAATTTTTGTATAACAAACGGGTCGCAAACGAATGATTTTATTTAGGAATTTTTAGGTTTAGGAATACAGTCAAAAATACTTGTTGAAACGAATAACTTTGTTTATTTAGATAACTACGTACAATTTAGATTGTTTTACCATTTTGGTTCAAATTATCTTCTCAAATAAGCATACATATTCACTATTAGGTATGTGAATATTTTGATTTTGATAAATCCCATGAATCTTCGTCGAATATTCTTAATGAAGATTCTACAGTTTCCCGAACTGAATGATTTTTTAATATTGTCCTCTTCTTTCATAATATATTCAATACACCTGTTCAAAAATCTGTTTTCCCGTTAACCAGCTGTGCCCCCCTTCGAACGAGGATTCTCAAAAGTCAAAACTTGTGAGATTTAAGGACTAAGGAGGACTTACCTTTCAACGGTGATTCCGAGCACGCCATATTTCGATATTCATCATCACATCACAATCACAGAGTTAGGTGGATTGCCAGACTATCCCTATGGACATGTCAAAGGACTTGTGGTAAAACATGGGCATAGATCCAAAAAATCCATTGGATTTAGGTGATGATTGTCAGACCAATGATCACTTATCGTGCAATTACCTGGTGGCCGAAGGCTCTACAGAAAACGGCCCAGGCGAAATTCTCTGGCTTACAGAGACAGGCTTGTCTGACCATCAGTGGTACCACACTATCAGCGGCCATGAATATCCTTCTAAATCTAGCTCCTCTTCACACTTTTCTGGAAAAATAGGCTAGATGGATTGCATATAGACTTGTGTACATTGCCAATTGCACAAATCAATTCAATGCAGAGTGCAACAGACTGTTGGTTGACACAACATTCTGGAAATGACCTCTGACTTTATGCCTTCAACTGTCAACTAAGTGCCTTATAAAGTATTATTTCCGAGTAGAGAGGACTGGATCCTCCGGTAGAAGGAAATATTAAGAGCAGACAAAAACACCTTCTGATTTTGATGCAGGTGTTCTCAGTCGCAAACCCAGGACTGAGATATCAACCTGCCTAGGAACCTATGCGACTGTATTGCAAGCGGAAATTTGCGCTAATGAATTGTTTGCGGAGAGATTGGAAGAATCCAACCTCATACACACAATTCAATAAAAAATTCTCCGACAGTCAAGCAGCGTTGGAAGCTCTTGGCTCCTACAGAGCAACGTCTAAATTAGTAGCAAATCGACAAAATGACTCTCCTTCATAAGAAGACTTGAACAGATTATCTCTGGTCTGAATTTCTGGCCATATGGAAGGGAATGAGGCTGCTGACTTCTTCGCAAAAAGGGGGGCTAGCAGCTTTATCGGACCAGAAACTGTCATTGGCATCGCTTTAGGCTTTGCCAAACAAACATTGAACACCTGGATGGCAAGAAGATTTATGGACTTCTGGCAGAATCTTCCAGGATGATTGGCTCACTCCAAGGCATGTATTCACCCTTCGAAGCTTGATACCAAACAGTGGTTAGACTACAGTACGGATGAACTATGACGTCTAACAGGCGTTCTTACAGGTCAGTGTCATTTGAATCATATGCATCAACAGCTGAGCACATACTTTGTGCCTATCCCGCGGGGGACCGAATCAGGTTTTTAGAGTTCGACAGAGCCGTACTCTTACCATCTGACCTGAAAGAGCACTCACCATACAAACTAATCGGCTTCGTTAAGAAGCTGAGTTTATTTGGTCGAGTGTGAATAGGTGTGAGCCACAATAAAGCCTTGCGGGTTACGGAGGAGGGTTGAATAGACCCACTCACTTTGGACCTAAACTAACGTAACCTATGTGGAATGAGGTTTAAAATTTGCTCAAAATATTCGTCGAACAAATCGCCGTTCATGTTGTCAAACGTCAATAAATCGCCCTCAACAAAGCCACCAACACTTCCAATGTGGGTAATAATTGATCGCTTTTCTTTTCCAGAAGGCGACTTTTCGTTTTAAATTCTGAATACCATTTTTCACCAATCATTTTCGAGAAATAATTACATTCCGAAATGTTAACATAATTTGCCGTTTTTTCGGTTCAACCTCGAATCTATTAATTCTTGTCTTGGGTGGGTGAATTATAGAAAAGAAAGAGGCTATATTATACCGCCATTTTCTTTTCACCTGCTGGAATGCCTATTTATTCCTTGTAGTATCTTAAGACTACCGGCGCATCCGCCATAATCTTCATTTACCATTCATTATAATTGTTAGAATGATGTTCAGAAATTGTTGAATTCATTGAAGCAAATTTTTTTATTTTTCATCTCAGTAGTCAAACGCAATGCTTTTATCACATGCAGGATGTGGAAAAAACTGTTGGAGAAGTTTATTTAACTAATACCTTGAATTTTAGAACT